GTGTTGACCCTGTTGTGGATTTTGTAAAATCTGTGCCATGATTGGTGCTGATAAATTCTCTTTTGTTCATTGTAGGTATGATGGAAATACAGTCTTTGGTTATAGATTGTACAAGGAAGTGAACAGGACTGAGCCTCAAACAAAAGCAAAGGGGAAGGCATGTTTAAAATTACCAACTGTCTGTTCTCACTGGGAAACACTTGCAGTGGATCTTAAGGAATTTCGAGGAGTTGTGGTAAGTTCATAATATTTAATGTTTTCAACTTGAAATGTTAAGTCAATCTTTTCTTTCTTTCTGTAAATGGCAGGATAAACTCTTGGCTAGCAAGACTGCAGCAGAAGTTGCCATTGGCAAGACTATCAATATTAATGCCCTTCCTGTTGTGGAGAAATTTCAAAAGGTAAGGTTGAAATCCCTTTTTCCATCCTCTGGTAAAATCTTGGTGTAGCACATTGTTTCATGTGCTTCTGTTTTATTTATTGAATCTGTTGGTAAACTCATTCATTTTATTGTGTTATATAGAAGAAAGAAAGGGCACTGAAACAGAAGAAAAGGCAAGAGATGCTCCTGAATGGCTTGAGAAGTACCTGTGGTGCCGGGATTACCCGTTCATGTCGCAATCGTAGGCCCATCAGTTACACATTTGGTACGATGGAACTTTGCATCTACAATTGATATAATCCAATGATGTGTCATAGTTTGTTGATGAATTTCAACTTTTAACTATAAACTTGTGTAAGTGGTTCTATCTTTGTCTAGTTTAATAGCTTCCTTTCAACATGCTCACTAGAAAATGTCAAGTTAATAACCTGAATTTTATGTTGGGTGATTGGAAATGATGAAAGTTCTACCATGGGTTTAGATATAATTGTTTTAAATAGGTTTCACTTGCTACTTGATATTTAAAAGGTTAAAAAAAGGCTTGTAGTTCTTATTTTTTTATAAAGTCAAGGCTTAGGCAGGTCAATCAGATAAAGTTAAATCTTGCTATTGATTCGCTCTGGTTTTGCTCCAGAGTGGTTCGCTAAAGTTATGCTGTTAGTCTAGCTAAACTGTAGCACTTTTTTTTATTAAATTCACATCGATGGACTTATCACGTAAAATACGTGACAAAACTGATTCTTAAATGCTTGAATTTTGCATTTGTGAGAGAGCTTGTTATTATGTTGCAGATGAATATGGGAATTTTTTAGCTTTTTTTTCTTGACTCAGTTTGCTTTTAAATAAACTTGTGCATTTGTGGTAATAAAGTGTCATTTACTTTGAGATTTGAATATGCAGATGAATATGACCGTGCCATTGATGAGGCTATAGAACTAACAAAGTAAGATTTGTTTATTCTGATTACATTGATTGTTTATCTTTATCTTCTCAAATATCTTTATTGATATAATCATATATAATTCACAGATGTAATTTTTGGAATGTGCTCAAATATCTTTCAATCATTTTCTCATGAAATTAGCAGATTCATTGTGTAAAAGAACATAGTCATGCCTTTTCTGTCTGGTTTACAAAGCTCATTTTATTTTACTTTTGCAAAAGTTTGCAAATACTAGGTTCTCTAGCCCCATCAAAATATAAGAAGTGATTTAATTTGGCAAAACCGTTAAAACTACTGGGGCGTTAATGTCTGCTGCCCTTTTCTAGACTTGTGATATTTGCTCAATGTATACTTGTTCTGTATGGTTGTGGTTCCTCTTCAACTGAAATTGCTACATGGAGTTAAACAGTTGCTCTTGAGATAGGAGGTTAACACCAAACTATTACTTCTACTTCAACTCAAATAGCCAATTTGGTCTGAGTGTTCGGCTTTGATGGTTTAACCATTTATTGGTTGTGACTTCAATTTGTGGAACAGGAGAAGGAAGACCGTTGAGGAGCAAAGGCAGGTACAGAAGCTTGCGAAGCAAACATTTACCTCCAATGGAGGTTCAGATGCAGAGGGCTCAGTCTCAGAAGGCAGTTCAGATGGGAAAGGTAACTCTATGGGTAGTGACACTGAAGATGACAAGCTTCAAGAAGCTGGTGGCGACGGTAATAAGGATGATGGTGATGACGATGACGATGGCGATTATAGTAGCAGCAAGGATGGTGATGATGACACTGGTAGGGACTCAGGCAATTCTGCAGATGGAAAGGAAAATTTTGGCTACGAGAACCACAAGAAAGATGTGTCTATGGAATCACGCTGGAGTAAGAGCTTGTCTGGAGTTGCTATCCATCCTGCTGTGGGAACCGGAAACTTGGGCGCAAAGAATAGGTTGAGGCAAAGGCCAGTTATTAACTCTGCCCTTGACAGTATTGTGCCTGATTCAGAGGATGATATCTCGTTAGAACATACAAACAGTGGGATATTAGGCGCCAAAAACTTGCATAGAGATGCTGATCCAGAAGAGGTTAGTGACAGCTAAAAGTTTCAAAATTAACCAAGAATTGAGGTCAGCGAATCTGCTCAAAGTTCTTGTCCTCCAAACTTATTTTCTAACAGCCAGGAAATTTTGATAACTTTTGTAGAGTGGCATGTTTTGTCCATTTTGGTTTCTGGATGTAATTTATGAGAAGCCAAGGTTCTTGACTTTTTTCGACTCTTTAGTTTGATCGAGAAACAGTAATTGTATTAATGCAAGCCAGCAAGGCTTCCTTATTCCAAATAGAGAATCACCCTTCATAAACATCTCTACTGTTTGAAGAGAAAAGGTTTGGGGTTTTGTTGGGAATGAGAATTATGCTTCGCTAGCAGAGAATGCCAACTCAGTTTTCTCTGCACCTTTTGCCTTTGTCGTCATTCATTTCTTGTTAATATCATTACATTAATAATTTGAATAATTATATTTTTTATATATATTTGTTAATTTTAAACAAAAAAAAAATTACTTGCAAAGTTGGTGAAATGGTATATTTTTAATTTAATTATTTATAAATAATAATTAAATTCAGATATAAAGTATTTAAGGGTGATATTTTAATTTGATATGAATACTAAAATCACTATCTAAATTTATTTTTATTTTTATTATAAAATATCTTAATTTTATATAGCCAGATCGAATTATATGGGACCCTGTACCCACTGCCATCTCTATTTTTTGTGAGAAATCTTTGCATGCTAATATGGTTGAGTGGTCTTAAGACTCAGGTTCTGGTCCTTGAAAGAGGGTACATTTTCTTAAATTTTTCTTTACTTGACTCAAAACGCGACGAAAGTTTGCCATGGGCCCAATGATAAAGAAGACAGCAGCCCAAACGTCCTATCGACGGCAAAGGAAGGCCCAATTGTCTATCCACGGCAAACCACAATCCATAGCAAACCCAAATATTTCCTTGCTCGTGGAATCAAAGATTTTACGTATCTGCTTAATACTAAAATTACGACGGAGAGCAGCCGTCATTCTGAAGCGAAGATTTAACGTCAACATGGCTACAAGCACCAGAGAAAGTCGGCGGAGGAAAATCGTTGAAAGAGGATCCGACCGCTTGGCTTTTATTAAGGGTCGAATCCAAAACCTGCCTTCTCAGTCGCTTGACCAAACCGACAACGACCCTCTTCAGCCGCTGGTTCCCCACGACCAAGATCCTCCACCCACCATCTCAACTCAAGCCGCCGGTACCCGTCTTCCTCTCCCTCCCTTCGTTTCAATTTAAATATCTTTTCAAAGGGTGGTTTCAGTTTATCATGTCTTGATAATTGGAGGGGTCAATTGAGGATCAAGGTTTAGTTGAATCCTAGCTATTGAATATACAATGGTAACAAAATTCTGCTTTTGGGAAAGTTAGTTAGAGTCTCTTTTCAGGTTTAGGTTTTTGGGTTCTTGAAAGTATTGAACTTGCTTGTTGTGTGTTCTTGTGCAATTACATATCCTTTGTTCAAGTAACTGAACTAACGAACAAAAATTGAAAAGGTACTATGCTAGTGGTTTTGTTGATGGATTGCATGTTCTTTAGACTAATTGCTTTTGGATTTTTATTATTATGCAGCTTCTCCTGATGCCCATGCTAAAGCCGCTAGTCCTGGGTTGCCAAAACATGATTATTTTGATGCTGGTCAGAGTCTGACCAGTGCTTATAATGGTGAAAGTGGTGAGGGATCAGTATTGCACAGAAGCGGGACGAGCATTGATTCTTC